AACAATGACAACTATAACAAAAAAAAAAAAAAAAATTGCCAGGAGTTGTGTCGGGCACCTATAGTCCCAGCTACTTGGGAGGCTGAGGCAAGAGAATCATTCAAGCCCAAGAATTTGAGGTTGCTGTGCGCTGTGATGCCACAGCACTCTACTGAGGGTGACACAATGAGACTCGGTCTCCAAAAAAAAAAAATCTATTTTGTAATAGACTTTTGTAAGCCCTGTGAAACCCTCAAGACACTGAATAAAACACAGTCCTAAAAGTCAGGGGGAAACAGTCATTTAAAAGATAATAATGAGGGGAATGGAGGCATGAGGCAGTCATGCAGGAGTGTGTGTAGGGCGGCGCTCATAGCTCAGTGCGTAGGGTGCTGGCTACGTACACTGAGGCTGGCGGGTTTGAACCCAGCCCAGGCCAGCTAAAACAACAACAACAAAAATAGTCGGGCATTGTGGTGGGTGCCTGTAGTCCCAGCTACTTGGGAGGCTGAGGCAAGAGAATCACTTACAGTCAAGAGTTTGAGGTTGCTGTGAGCTGTGATGCCACAGACTCTACCCAGAGTGACAGCTTGAGACTCTGTCTCGAAAAAAAAAAAAAACAGACTGTATGTATGTGTGCGTGTGTGTGCGCGCACGTGTGCACAAACACACACCCCTGCACAGCTGGGCTAGGAGATGACTTGAGAACAGATGGATATGACATACGGTGATACAGGAGGGGAGTCAAGGATGACTCCTAAATTTCTGACCAAGCATCTAAGTGGATGGTGGTGTCATTTATTGAACAGGTATGAAGAAGAAAAATAGTTTGGAGAAAAAGGCCAAAAATTATTTTGGACAAGTGACGTTTTAGATCCTCATGGAGTATCAGGCAAAGACAACAAGCAGGCAGTTAGGCAGGAGTCTGGGTCTATAACCTATGAAAATTTCAATGTGGGTTTATTTTTTTTATTTTTTATTTTTATTTTTTTTGAGACAGAGCCTCAAGCTGTCCCCCTGGGTAGAGTGCCGTGGCATTACAGCTCACAGCAACCTCCAACTCCTGGGCTCAAGCG